AACAATAAATATCACCCATGATCTCAGCCTCAATGTACCACTTTGTATAACTGAGTCCACCCTTCCACTGTCCACCCACAACTGGATGTAGTTTTCAGGATAATGTGTCCCAACCACGCTTGTATACCCCTGCTTCAGGCACATGTACATAGGTATTTGGTAGATTTTTTGTTTGTTTGTTTGTTTGTTTTTGTTTTTGGTACTGGGGATTGAACTTGGGTCCTTGAGCTTGCGAGGCAGGCGGCGGAACCACTGAGCTAAATCCCTGGCCCATACATAGGTATTTGGGAGCAGAGATGGAGAAAGTTCTGACACAATTACATCACAGAGCAGGCCCAAGGCCACACAGAATTTGAAAAAGCTATATTCATCTGAACAGATCCTGTATTGTTTCTTTGAGTTTCCAGAAGGTGACCCAATAGCCTGGGACCTAATGTCGACTTCTAGTCCCTCCAAGTCTCTCTGATTTTCTGAGTGGATGGTCTCCTGGGCTCTGCAAGTCCAAGTTCCTGACCTCCGGAGAGCTGAAAAGGTACCAACCACTCTGGAATTGCAAGAGCAAGTGGCACACAGGTGGCTTCCTGCCTTACAGATGCTGTTTATGGAGTGTGCAGAATTCAGTCAAAGGTGTTGGTCTTGGCATTGGGCTGACCCATTACGAGGACTAAGTGGGTTGCTAAAGTCACACGTGTAAGAAATAACCAAGTTTACAAGCACCCGGGCAGCCTGGCCTCTGCTTTCTGGTGGGCCTCACCTCAGGCATGTGCGTTATAGGAGAGCTGCACACAGATGTTTGGCAGCTGAGCAAGGATTTTGGGAGTTTACAGGAGGACAGGAGAAATCCTCAGGTAGTGGAAACATTCAATAAGGAGCCAGCCAGGCTCCCATTTGAACCTAAAGCTCAGAAAGGCAAAGGGGCCGCCTCTCCCTGTTAGTCATTCACCTTGGGGACTGCTACTCTGCAGATGGTCCAGACCTCTCTGAGATACCCAAGCATTCTGTGGCCAGCAGAGCAGCTCCCTGGGAGCTCCTTAACGGGACAACCAAGTCTGCCTTTGCATAATTTTTTTTTTTTTGTACTGGGGATCGAACTCGGAACCTTGTGCTTGCGAGGCAGGCAGCGGAACTACTGAGCTAAATCCCAGGCCCTGCTTTTGCATAATTATTAATCTATACACAATACAATATGCAGTACATGCAATTAATTTTGCATCCTCAGAACCCGGTGGCACCTGTCACAACAGATGCTCAAAAAATGCCTGCTTTAGGCCGGGGATTCAGCTCAGTGGCACCGCGCTTGCCTCACAAGCACAAAGTCCTGAGTTTGATCCCCGTACCAAAAAAAAAAATGCCTGCTTTAAAGCTATTCCATGTCATTACACTCAGAGGAAATGTTTGTTTGTTATCACAGGTGTCCAAAAATGTCCCCCACAATGCTCATTGCATTAAAGGATTGATCCATGATGGGCTGTGGGGAAGTGATTGGATCATGACAGTTCTAACTCACCACATGGATGAGTCCACTGAGGAGATCATAATTTGATGGCATTACTAGGAGGTGATGGAATAGGAGGTGGAGCCTCATTGAGGGAAGTAGATCATGGGGTCATGACCTTGAGGAATATGTCTGGTCTCCAGCCCCTTCCTACCATCTCTTTCCTCCTCTCTGCACTTCCTGGCTGCCATGATGTGAGCAGCTTCCCTCCACACAACCCCTTTCCAAGAAGTTTCTGCCTCACCACAGACCTAAAACCAAGGGAGCTTGCCAAGCATGGACTGAAACCTCTGAAATTGTTAGCCAAAGTAAATCTTTCCCCCTTTAAGTTGTATCCTTGGGTATTTTGTCATAATGATAGAAAGCTAAAACAGGGCTGGAGATTTAGCTCAGTGGTCCCATGCCTGCCTCACAAGAGCAAGGTCCTGAGTTCAATTCTTGGTTCTGCAAAAAAAAAAAAAGCTAAAACAATATTTTTGTGGCACACTTGAGTAAACCAGAGGGGACTTGGGGGGACATATATGTGGAGATTGATGGAAAAAAATAATTGTTTTCTTTCTTTAAAAGAACTATAAAAATGAAAATAAAGTCATCAGAGAACATATTAAATACTGAATTTGCATGAAATTTTCCAAATAAAATATTTCAAATTCTTAATGAGAAACCTGAGCTTGCTTTTATGAATATAACTTTTTAAAAGTTTTTAATGATATATTTTATTTAACCTAATATATCCCCACAATTATGGGGGGTTTTTTGGTACCAGGGATCGAACTCAGGACCTTACGCTTGTGAAGCAGGCAGTAGAACCACTGAGTTAAATCCCTGGCCCCTCCCACAATTAAGATTTTAACATGTCATCAACATAAAAATTATGTCTGGGATATTTTACATTCTTGGTTTTTGTTTTGTTGTTGTTTCGGGGGGGTTGAGGAAAGGTCTTCATATGTAGTTCTGACTGGCCTTGAACTCACTATGTATCCCAGGGTGGCCTCAAACTTGTGGGAATTCTCCTGCCTCAGCCCCCCAAGTGCCGAGATTACAGATGCATGCCACCACACCCAGCACATTCTTGTCTTCTTACTAAGTCCTTGGCATCCAGTGTGTGTTTTACACAGACAGCAAATCTCACTTAGTGCAGCCACAGTCCAAGTGCTTAGCAGCCCTGGGCAGTGATGGTGGTAAAAATATAGCATGACACAACTTTTTCTAATGTTCTTTTTTAGAAATAACTACCAGTGAATATTTTTGAATGATGATTTATTCAAGTTTTTGGCAATTGCTCATCAATGAGAAATTTTACCCAAATAGGAGATAAAAATTTTAAAGCTTTTAAAATTACCCTGAAAAATTGTACAGCAGTTGAAATTATCTTTAAAGAGTTCAACAGCTTTATTGAGATTTCTTGTGCTAAGACAAAGGGTTAAACTTCTCCTACTACTCTTTTGAGACAACAGTGGCGCTCTGGAAGCAGCACAGGCACAGGCTGTTGGGGCCACACCATGCAGCAGGCTCTGATACCAGGCTGGGGCACAGGAGGGGGAAGGACAGAGGGGCATAGGCAGAGACTGATGTGGGACCATGGCCTGCTGCTCCCCAACCTGCACCCCACGCTGTTACTTTATCTGGATGCCAGGCTCCCAGGGTGCTTGGGATGTACACCCCAGCAATTCCTCAAACCCCGTCACCTCCACCTCTTGCCATGTGGCCATTCAGATGGTAGCATATTCTGGCATGACAGGTCTCAGCCCCTCTCCCTCTCCCTCTCCCTCTCCAGTTTTGTTGATAGTACCCATATACAATAAAATGTACCCATTTAAGGTGTACAGGTCAATGGGGTTTTTTGGGGTTTTTTCCGGTACTGGGGATCAGACTCAGGACCTTGCACTTGCCAGGCAGGCACCAGCACCACTGAGCTAAATCCCCAGCCCTTAGGTCAGTGGTTTTGTATCCATCAAAGTTGTGAAAAGATTTCAGTGTCTTGTCTGTCAAATAGAGAGAACTGTACATAGCCTCACACAATTTCAAGAGAGAAATGAGATAATGAACAGAGTGCTTTGCACTTTGTCCAGCACATGGTAAACTCAATAAATAAGTGATCGATATTATTTTAATGAGGAGGAGGATGACAAAGATGAAGATGAAGAGGAGCAGCCAGGGATCCCTGCCACAGGGAATGCTGAGCAGTGGCCACTGGCCAAGATGTGCTGCTGCTGCATGCTGTGTGTAATCAAGGTGACCCCAGCTCTTCCTGTTCCTCCTGCCTGTCCACAGCATGCACAGTCCGCCCACTAGACGCTCACAGCCCCCTCTGGGTAGAGCGGGCATGACAGGTGCTCAGCAGCTGCACAGGCTGCACCACAACTTAGGCAGGAAGTGGAGTGCAATGTCATTTCTGACACAAAATTCATGAGGAGAGAAATTCAGGTCTGCAGCAAGAGTCATTTCTCTTACTCACGTTTGATCAACCTATCTGTTCTCCTATGGCTATGGCTTCTTTTGTTCTCCCCTAGAAAAAAATTTATTTTCTCAAGATTATTATAATAAAAACAATATTTTATTGCTAATGTGTTTATAAACCTCTCCCCAAATGTAGTTTGTATGAAAATTCTACTCCAGGAGATATTTTAAATGTTTCACCACAAATAAATCCTAAATGTTTGCGATGATAGATATGTTAATTATTCTAATTTGGTCATTACACAATGTATCCATGTATTGAAATATCACATTTTATGGACTGGGGATTTAGCTCAGTGGTTCCAGCACCTGCCTCGAAAGCACAAGGTCCTGAGTTCAATCCCTGGTACCAAAAATAAATAAATAAATAAAAGAAAAAAAGAAATATCACATTTTACCCCATTAAAATGTACAATTTTTTTTTTGGTACTGAGGATTGAACTCAGGACCTTGCACTTGTGAGGCAGGCACAGCTCCACTGAGCTAAATCCCCAGCCCAAAAATATGCAATTATTACATATCAGTTAAAAACATAAATGCTGGTTCAGGGATTTAGCTCAGTGGTGCTGCTGCCTGCCTCACAAGCACAAGGTCCCGAGTTCAATCCCTGGTGCCAAAAAACCCACAAAAACATAAATGCCACCATGACATAGGAGATTAGGGCGTGGCAAAACTGGCTGGGGAAGTAGGCCTGACCTGTTAATTGAAGATCCTTGACACATGCACAGAACAGTTCCCAAAGCCCTGCGTGTGGACTTCTTTCCTTAGAGCAGGTTTTCAACAGGACCGGCCTGGACTTGACATCAGCCTTAGGCATGGGATTCCAGCACTGCCTCTCAGGGCCCGTATGTAGAAGCTCTCACAGGTTTCCTGACAGCATAAAAGGACACAGATGCCAAGAAAAGCTTGCTAGCATGGCTCTCCTCACAGTGGTCCTCTCTTTCTCCAGGGTGTATTTTTATCTTGCATTTTCCTCTTTTCAGCCCAAGCTTGCTCTGCAGAGCCAGTTTCTCACTCACTCTTCAATTTTACTTTTTCAGATAAACTTTACCACTGCTTTTTGCTCGTTTCATTCAATTCTTTGTTTAAGACAAAAAGAACCTGGAATCCAACTCCAGAAGAAGAGGTGAGCAACCCAGAACCCAGTAACGTTTAACTGGCCAGCCACTTTTAGAAGGAGCTATCTGATAACATTTTGGCATAGCCAGGAGATTCTGATAACAACCTGACGTAGTGGCACACACCTGTGTTTCTAGCACTCTGGAAGGCTGAGGCAGAAAGATCGGAAGTTAGAACCCAGCCTGGGCAATTCAGTGACATAGTGAAATCTTGTCTCAAAATAAAAAACCGAAGGCCCAGGATACCACAAAAACAAACAACCATTAAAAAAAAGAAGAACATAAATGCCTAAGTAAATAAATTTAAAAAAAAAAAAAAAATATATATATATATATATATATTGTCTTGTTTTGTTCCATTGTAAGAGATAGAATCTTGGTTTTTGCTTTGTTGTGTTCTGTTTTAAGAGGCAGAATGTTGCTATGTACTTTTGGGCTCAAGCAGTCCTCCTGTTTCAGCCTCCTGAGTAGCTGGAACTAACACCACCATGCCCCACAAGTGTATATGTTTTTAAATATAAACATGAAATCATGAGATAACACTGTTTTGCGGGATGCCTTTTTTTTTCTTTTTTGGTACGGGAATCGAACTTGGAAACTTGTGCTTGAGAGGCAGGGGGCGGAACCACTGCATGTCTTTTTTGTTGCAAAATATGTCTTGATTACATTAGTAAAGTGAGTTTCTTCCAGCTGCGTAGTATTCTTTGGTATGGATATATTGCTTTCGTTTATCAAGTCCTTTTGTTTATCAAGATACAGGTTATTTGATACATTGTAGCCGTGATTATGACCACAGTGGGAGCTGTGTTGTGCCACTCCCACTCCTAGGACCGAGGTGCTCATTCCCCAGCTGCCACAGTATGCACGGCATGCTACTGTCCCCAAGTGGAGTGGCCCTCAGCCCCTGGCATCAGAGGACTGACCCATGACTGTTTGTAGAGCAGAGGTGCAGAGGCTGGGCCCCTTTGCCCTGGTGGTGGAACTCTGAAGGTCACGCCAGCTCCAGAACTTTCCGTGACACCGGGTACAGGTGAGTACACCCTAGCACACTCCTCCCTGTGTTTGCTCGTCTCCCTCAATCCTGACCACTATGCAAACCATTTTCCAATAAATCTACACACAGGCCTCCGTTCTTTTTTTTTGTACTGGGGATCGAACTCAGGACCTTGTGCTTTTGAGGCAGGTAGCAGTGCCACTGAGCTAAATCCCCAGCTAGGCTTCCGTTCTGAGTTCTGTATTTTGGTTTGTTTTTTTTACGGTACTGGGGATCAAACTCAGGACCTTGCATTTGGGAGGCAGGCACAGCGCCACTGAGCTATACCCTGGCCCTGAGTCAATTTTTTTATCTAAGTATTTTTTTGTTAATAATTGTTACTGGAATCTCTTAGGAACAGATGTATCTTTAAATATATATATATTTTTTTTTGGTGCCAGGGACCAAGCTCAGGACCTTGCGCTTGGGGAGGCAGGCGGTGGCACCACTGAGCTAAATCTCTGGCCCTAAAAAAATTGTTTTATTACCACAGTACATGTTTGCAGCACATAATGTTTTCATTTATGTTAGGGAGCAGGAACATGCACTTAACATGTCTTAATCTTTTTATTCCCTCCTCCATCTCTAGATTCCCTTCCCATTTACAAAAGATCCACACATCTTTGAGGAAAAGAACCTTGACATGTCTCTGAGGGTTTTAGGCGTGGCTCATGGAAATGGAGTCAGCAGGTAGGAAGGGGAAGTGGTTCTGTGGGAAGGGAAGGTTCTGGTTTTGCTCCCAACCAGATAGAGACTAGTAAACTAGGAGTAGGAGGGAAAGGGAGGGGACAATGGCCTGGAGAAGAGCCAGTGGGCTGAAGAGAAGCCTGGACTGGTGAGAAAGGGCAAAGGACTTTTAAGAAAGGGGATGACCTTGCGTAGCTTCCTTGGAAAATTCTCTGATCTCCCCTCTACAGTCGTCAAATGAACTTAGTTATGTTATCAGCAGCTCTGGGTAAGCAAAAGTCACAGCAAGCCGTGTGTCGCCTCTGAGACACTTTATGCAGCCAAGAGTGCCGATAAAGACTGGGGAGCTGGAGACAGAGGCTTGTGAGCATCTCCCAGGCGGGAGCAGACGCCCGGCCACCCTTTTCTGTTCCTAGCAGGTGTGACCTCGAGGGGAATGTGTCAGTGCTGGTCTGCAGGTCCCAGGGGAGCCAGGGAAGAGACAAGTACCATTCACTTCCTGCTGCCTCTCTCCCTTCAGAGTATCAGAACAGGAAGGCCCAGAGGCTCAAAGTGGCACGGAGATGATGACAGCTGAAAGGGGAATAGTCACCCAGGAAACCGAAGAAAAGGGTGCTTTTGAATGGTTGTATTATAGCCAGCTAAGTTAGGTAGAAATAGGCAGTTCAACAGGGAGAGGCCCTTGAGGAAGTTAGCGCAGAAGATGAGAACTGTGGTTGGAGGTGCATTTGAAGAAGGCAAGGCCTTGAGGTTAAAGCCACAATGGCCAGACTTGCATACTTCCCTAAGGGATCAATGGAAACGAGATTATACAGTAATTGGTACCACCCTGTCTTTTTACTTCCCCTTCCCTTCCTCTCCCCCCTCTCTCCTTCCATCTCTTGGTGAATTATCTTTTAAAACTTTGTATCCTTTGTAGCCTTTAGCTAAATGATGCTCGAAGTGAGATTATGAGAATGAAATGAATCAGTGCATATAAAGTATGTAGAAGAGCGCCTGCCATGTAGCACACTCGCTGAAAGGGTTATTATTGTAGTTGTTCTTCACATCTCACCATCCCCCCGAGCCTTCTCTCCCCTGCGCCACATTCCCAACTGGATTTCGGTAACATATGACATGCTGGCTGCTGTGCTCACTGCCTCTGTCAAGTGTCTCCTGCAGGGAGAGAATCTGATTTACATTACCTCAAAATTCAGGTTGTTCAAAACCTGAAATCAAGTGAAAGGAAACCCCCTGCAGAGTATTTAAGGAGTCATCTGGGCTGCCTGTCTGCCACAACCTTTGTGCCAACACTGAAGCAGCCTTTTACTGCCCCAGGAAAGAGTGCTGGCCCCAGCCCTGGGCAAAATCTGAAATCCTCTCTTCCAGAGGATTCCTTTAGCATTATTTACCTGTTCACCTGTGAGATCTCAGTAGGGTGGAAAGCTGTCAGCTTTGAAGCCTGAGCTCACACCTGGCTCCCATACCTGACTAGCTGGGTGAGGCTTGGGCAAGTTATTTAACTTCTGTGTGCCTTTGTTTCCTCTTCTGAAAAATGGGGACACTACAACACAAGGTTTTTTGGTTTTTGGTTTTTGGTTTTTGATACCTGGGTTTGAACTCAGGTCCTTGCTCTTACAGAACAGGCGGTGGAACCACTGAGCTAAATCCCCAGCTTCTTTGGTTTTTTTGTGACAGGGCCTCACCATGTAACTGAGGCTGGCCTTGAACTCACTTACATGGCCCAGTCTGGCCTCAACCTTTCCACAATCCTCCTGCCTCAGCCTACTGAATACTGTTCCACTCTACCTGGCCATGGTTGTGTTTTTGTTGTTTTAAATATAAAACATAAAATGTACCAACTCTGCTGGGCGTGGTGGCGAAGCCTGTACTAATAAAAAAAATTTTAAATTAAAAAAATAAACACATATTGCCAAGGATTTAGCTCAGTGGTTCCAGCGCCTGCCTTGCGAGTGCAATGTCCCGAGTTCGATCCCCGGTACCAAAAAAAATAAAAATAAAATAAACACACATGATTGTTTTTGAGGATAAAATGAAATAATGTGGATAAAGCCTGTAGCATATAAACTAAGTGAATTCCCAATGAATTAAGTTCCCTCTTCCCTCAGTTTCTCCCACTACTGCAGCCTACAGAGGAGTAAGGAAGGGTACCTTGGTCAGTGGGGTTTCAATTCAGACGCTGGTCCCACTCCTTATCATGGCCCTGGCCTGCCCCACCTTGGCCACTGCTCATCCTGATGTGGTTCTTTGGGGAAATCTTGTCTGGAGAGGAAGAAGAGTGGTCTGCTGTCCACACCAGTCTCCTCACAAGGAGGGGGGAGTGTGACCAGGGCCCTCCAGACGTGGAGCAGGCCAAGGGGTGAGCACTACAGGGCCAGCTTCCAACTTAATAGAAGGAGGTCACATCTGTCATTGGCTGTGAGCCTGGGACATATGAGGTCATTCATGGGGTTATCAAAACAATATAAATAGGGCTGGGGATTTAGCTCAGTGGTGTCGAAGCCTGCCTCGAAAGCTCAAGGTCCTGAATTCAATCCCCGGTACCAGAAGGAAAAAATATATATATATAAGAAAAAATATATATATATAATCTCAAAATTAAATTATACTCAAAGGCTTATGACAAACAACAGTCTCTTTCCCCATTCCCTCTCCACCAAGCCAGGTTCCTCTGGAGGTGCATTGAAGGCTAGCAATAAACACCATGTAGCAAGTGCCTGCTGAGCCTATTGATTTACTGTGCTCTAATTGTTTTTTTTCAACACTGGGATCAAACTCAAGGGTTCATACATGCTTGGTAAGCACTGTATCACTGAACTACATCCCTAGAAATTTTAATTTTTTTAAATTTTGAGACAGGATCTCACTAACTTGCCTAGGCTGGACTAGAACTTGTGATCCTCCTGCCTCAGCTTCCTAAGTAGGTGGGATTATAGGTATTCACCACTGTGCCCAGGATTTTTTTTTTCCTGTGTCCTGGGGATGGAACTCAGGACCTCATGCATGCTGGGCAATCACTCTATCACTGGACTATACTCTAGCCCCTACAATTATTTATTATTATTATTTATTTATTTATTTTTGGTACCGGGGATCAAACTCGGGTCCTTGCGCTTTCGAGGCATGCAATGGAACCACTGAGCTAAATCCCTGGCCCCAATTATTTATTGTTTAACTTATTATTTATACAATTCTCTACCGTATCCCTCTAAATTGATATTTTTTTTATTTACTTCATCTTCTATGTAGCACATCTTCCATCAGTCTTGCAATCTAATATTTTCATCTAAACTTAAATCAGATAATCTGCTGTACTTAGAATTCCCCTCTAAGTGGAAAATAATAATGTTAAGGAAAAAAAGGTAGTATCCAAGAGGGATTATCTCTATAGGCACAACAGCTATTGAAAAGATAGTAATAAAATATTATGAAAATACTTTGTATCAATAAGTTGCACAACTTAGATGAAATGGACCAGTTTCTTGAAAGACAAGAGTATTAAAACATAATCAAGAAGAAATAGATAACCTGAGAAGAATCAAACCAGTTCATATATATATACACATATATATACATATATATGTATACATATATATATACATATA